GTCTTTATTAACTATAGTGTTATAACTAAACTTACTATCTATTCCTAAGAAAGACTTATCATAATTCACATAAAGCTATCAACAATAGAACAATTCAAATTATTTATAATAAGGGTATAAATAACATATTCGATGAATCATTTAATGGTTATTCGAGCTTAGTAGCTCAGTAGACAATTCATTGAATTGAAAAATACTGGGTTCAAATCCAAGCGGAAATGCCGACTCTGAAACACAGGCACATTCACCTGAGTAGTTCCAAATGGAACAAAAGGTGTTTTTTTTGGGGATTCCACTGTCAGCCAAGATGCATCTATAATCTTAATTAGGTCAAACATGGTTATATGCACAACCTTAAATATGTTTTATTGATAAATGTGAAATTGATGAATGATTATTTAGTTATTCTCAGACTAATGCTATTTACCCTGATGACTATTAGCCAAGCTTACCTATTAGTTATTAAACACGTTTTTAATTGAACAATTACAGTTAAGAAGGTGGTTGAACGTAGTCAACAGGAAACCTTGGATTTAGGTTTCGTGCTACTTGGTAAACGTCAGTAAGGTGTACCTGTATTATTGAGGTAACTGATGTTCCCTAACGGATCGATCTCGTGTCACTCAACTTCACAATCAGAAACGTTACCACTGAGCATCAGTTTCCTCAAGATTACAGGTACACCATACTGACAAGTGCCGAGTACCGCGAAACCTAGGTCCAAGGTTTCCTGTTGACTACCTCTAACCACCATCTTATTTCAACATAGCGCACGCAATTTCGAGTCACCTAGACTAGTGGTCAGATTATAACTTGGTTGATAGAATTCGATCTATACTAAGATGGACCTGACATACATGTTGAAAACTAAAAATAATCACATAATACAATTTCTCTCTTTCCCATTCGCTGTATTTTTTTTGACACTACATTTGAAATAAGTAAATAAATTATATGACAATTACCATACTGTACGATGTTTCATCCTTCAGATATGTATGCTGAGTTAATCTAACGAATACTGTATATTAAGTGAAGCATATCTAATCATTGTATTTACTAATTGATTATTTTATAATCTACCTATTATTTTTATAAATTTGTCCCAGGGAAACAAGAAGAATTTCATAGTGACAGCTAAATTTCAAATATTTACGAGAAGTTCTTTTAAAAATAATCATCTATTTGAAAAGAGATTGAGAAAATAATTTTGTAAATGTTAAAACTACTGATTACTATGTAACTATTTGTTATGTAATGAATTACTAAGCATTGGATACATCTTATTAAATTGTATTGTTTTCACAGAATAATAATTTATGATACATTTCCTGACTATTATAATCCAATGTCTTTAATATCGATAATGTGTTCGAAAAAAAAACAAATAGTTAAGGAAAATAAAACATTATTTTATATTGGGTCGAATTAGGAAACTACTAAGAATATTGATTAGTCGATTACAACTGAATTGTTCAGAAGATTACTTCATGTAAGAAAGCCCACTTAAAGCAATCAAATCTTTTATTATCTAATATGGATTAACTGATTGCATTACAATCAAACATTTCACAAACAGATAATTATTTGAGCAAATTTCTCTTTAAACATGGTCTTGGTGCATAGTTTGACAATATTAAGTAGTGTTTTTGATCAACGTTTTAACTTGTTTTCATATACTTTTACATTGGATTTAACTTTGAGGATTACACTACTATATAGCCATGTTAACATATTATAAATAATATAGTTTCATTGTTATATTGTGATGTAAACTACTTATGTCGACAGATATAAGTAGTATGCAATATCAATCAGAAGTGAACACCCTGGCAACAGAAGGCTGACGAGATCACGTTGAAGAGAATTGAAAAGAATTTAGATTAGGAAGAATCATACAAAATGTAAAGAATAAATGATAGAAATGAAGTATTCACTTTACAGTTATTATATTCTGTAATTTAGTAATAAACTACAATTCACTTTCCCCCCCATGTTCTTCTCCATTACAATATCATTAAAAGTTTTGAGATTAAACAGTTCAACCACCTAAAAAGACTTGCTAAAACTACTATTTTGCAAATAATTAATTTATTTAATTTTTCCTTACTTGCTTACTCTTGTTACTCTCAATGGAGCATTGGCCCATGACCAGCAGTATTCAAATCATTCTCTCCGGGAACTCCCTTTCTGGTTCCATACAATTGTTGTTCATTCTTCTCATATCTGTCTCCATTTCTCGATGTAATGTGTTCGTTGGTATTCCTCTTCACCTTCTGGCCTTGAGGATTACAAGTGAGAGATTGTCTTGTGACACAGTTGAATGCTTTCCTCAATATGTGTCCTATGCACTTCCAGCACCACTTGCTGATTTCTTCCTCCACTCGGATCTGGTTTGTTTTCTCTCTTCCATAGTAGGTTGTTGCTGATAGTGTCTGGTAAACGGATCCGAAGTATTTTGCATAGACACTTGTTAATTAACACTTGTATCAATTAAAAATATTCGTATCATGTTTATCATTGTTTTTTGGCAAACAAGTGTACATTGAATTTTGTTAAAATCCTATGTAAATAGAATTTCTAATTTTACTAACCAGTAATGAAAATAGGCCTTTAATAAATGCATTTTACCATTCCATGAATTTAGTATTATCCATCTTACGAATTATAACAACTAATCACAGTGTTAAAAGAATTCTATGAAAGGCAAACGTGAACTGAACACGAAGGGAATACCTTATTATAATGAGTAAAATGTCACTATGCAACCGTTTAAAGTAAAGTATAATAATATATTATTACAGAATTTGTCATAATCCTTAGTTGAGTTAACTTTTTTCATTTTTCTAAAGAGATCAAATAAACATGATATCTTATGTAGAAACTCTTTGAACATTGACAGTGAAGCAAAACTATGTAAACCTGATGTATATAGTGTTTATACAGAATTAGTCCGTTGCTTATATTTGAGTTATATTTCGATCACTTCCAGTTGAAATATACGCATCATATGCTGGTTGCCTATACATAGTCATCATGACAAAACTTGATATAGAATATATGGAACGTGACAAGCAGTGGACTCAAATTTTTCCCTACTTAGGACTTGTCAGCTAGATGTATCTGCATCTCAGAGTTGACTTTACAAGTGCGTTGCTATCTACACAGATTATCTGAGATGCCTATCCAGTGCTTCGTAGTTATCGATGATACTTCAGTGGAGACCAATATATGACAAATACAGTCAGTAAATACCAATAAAAATAATTTTGATTATAGACTAATGTCAACACTCAAAAGACTGGAAATCAAAGAAAAATGTTTCATATTATTTTCAAAGACTTCATACATTTCTGTTGAGATTTTATTTTTAAGAATTCGTTTGAAAAATCTAGTATTTTATCCTCAGCCAATTTAATTCCTGCGGCATACTATGAAATTATAATTGTACTTATCTTATGACTTATAAGAACGTCTTTTGGAAAGGAATCATTAGAAATTATAGAGAACTAGATATACAGTAAGTGTTCTACTACCTGTAAGAATAAGACTTTACGTTTATTGTACCACCTTTTGTCTATTAAATGGGCATCCATTGAGGTACATTGTTACCAGACAAAGCGAATGCTTGATAGGGTTCCTCAAACGAACTACAAAGTGTTTTTGTTAAATATTGGGAGATTGTTCGACGGATTGTTAATTTTCCCATCGTAACCCAATATTTGCTAAAATTATAATAACGATAATTTAAGAAAACAATAAAAATGTCATAACAACTGCGTTGGAAAGTTCTCAATTAAAACCTTGTTTAGAAGTTGACATCTTTAAACGACGAAAATATAAGATGGGTGTTGACTGTGCATGCCGAAATAGAACAAAAACTGCATAATTTATGCCGTTATGTATACTATGAAATAAATAGAACTTTAGGTTATATATTTTGTATATGTATGTAATGGATGATTTTAGTATTAAACATCGATGACTTTGTGTGTACCATAGAATGTAAACTTCTGTTTCTTGTGGGTTTCATGTATTTATGAAAACTTTGCCGAGTGCCTAACACTGAATCTTCTTTTAACTAAGTATGAAAACCCTCTAGCTAATAAAAGCTTACGTATTCCATTAGACCCTTAGTCTGCAAGTCCCATTAGATTTGTATTATTACCAGAACGATGACTATAAACCGTGATTCAAATATTGAGTAAAGGAGATGGACACAATGTTTCATTATAATTTTAGGGTTATGATACGGAATCATCAATAGACGACTTCTTCCTCCCGTGTTAAAAAAGATGTAATTGTTGGAATAGAATATTTAACTGCGAAACACGGCATCCTACCTTTCGTCTGATGTAATGATTTGTGGACTTAATCTTCATTTATTCCCCATACTTTGTTGTACTGCGATGTGACACCAACGCTCTGGTAGCTTTGCTTCACCGACATAAGTTTTTTTCTCCTAACAAGTCAGCCAGCTATCCAACCTAGTTGACATGATCCTTCACGTGACCTCACACCTTGTGCCATTTTATTTAGTAACAGCCCTTTATCACAGTTTAAACGTTACGGCAATTTATAATTACATCAATTTTTCACTTAATAAATGTTTTCATTGAATTTACTAGAATATTTAGTGATGATTATTGATCAACATAAAACATTTTTAGTTCTCACATATACTTCTATCCTCGATAATTAGAGGGATGTTTAGTTTAATTATCAGCTTTTCATTTTTAATGTCAGTTATTGTGAAACTATGAACTGCCAGTATAACATAAAACCCAGGTTTCATGGTTCTTTATCATTTGCCTCCAACTATTTGAAGTCTTCAATATTCACTCACATAGATTAGTGATCACAAAATGACGTGATCAATAACATTTGATTATCACCAAGGTTAAAATGAGTATTCTATTGATTACTAATCAGTAATTAAGGATGTTAGTTTATTTCAAATAAATACAACAACGACTTTCATCCATTGACTTTTTTTACAGATGTTGAAGAGAAACTGAACCATTTTTCGAACAATGAAATAGAACATTACAATGATAGTTTAGAAACTAATTTTCCAGTAAATGAACCATCTAGTGAATTATATTCACCTGTTAATACAATCTTATCTAATCTAAGTAAACAACAAGTTGACATAAATCTGGATTCTAATACAAATTTACGATTTGTTAAATACTTTGTTGGAGAAACCATTCGAATGCGTTGTATCATACCCGAAGGATCTCATGTGGTAAGTCATTATGAATGTAAAACTAATTTATCTATACAGATAGTTACTAAACATCACTAAAGACAGTTATATGTTAATATCAGAAATGGTCTAATGAGCATTTAACATACACCCTGTTGTATCTTTGATCAAGTTGACAGTAAAGAGACAAACCAATAAAAAATTATGAGTTTATAAAGGTTAAAATAGTTTTTTACTTGTTGGCGTCTTTTTGTAAGTTTTTGTTCTATAGAGTGAGATCGCCATCCTATGCCTAGCCTTTCTCAGATTTGCGACACCGACAGTAAACCTAAAAGGACTTCAAGCAAAGTTATAATTTCCAGGGCAGAATATGTTGGAGAATCTTGGTTTTAAGAAAATTCTATATTAAATGTTAAGAAAATCATTTTTATGTATTCACTGTTCACAATAATGTCTGGTGCAGATAAAGAATGTCCTATCAATCTTTCATCAGAAAAAGGTGAAATCAAGTTTTACTAGCAAAACCTTACATACATACATTTTTAACCATATTCCGTCTACTTCAAATCAATAAAGTAGACAACTTATTAATGATTTAAGATTAAAGTTATTACTGAAAGAACAAATCTCTTTAATACATTTCATAACACGAGGTATCTTAGAAACTAGGCTCTCAGATGGATGAATATATGGTTTGTTACTTCTGTGTTTCATGTAACTAATTTTGATAAATTAAACTTGGTTTCCTTTGTTGACTGTTTATTGTTCTACAAAACAACACTTATTTTAACTTTACATCTCACTAACGACAAAAAAACGTCAAATACCACTGAAACAAGTATTGTATCATAAAGGTTTGTTTTTCTAAATTAGCTGTTGAAATCTTCAAACAACTAATAACACGAAACTAATAGTTGATGTTAATTGTTCCTGAGAAGGTCGATTATATATCAGAAGGGGTTTTGTGGAAATTTTGAGTAATTTCAATAGTTGAAATCATCAGTCATTCGAAGCTAGACCACCATGGAAAACCCTGAAGCACTGGATGGTCGTTTCGTCCTAGTAAGGGACTACTCAGCAGTGCGCATCCACGATCCCGCACAAACCCCGCGGGAGTCCCATACGAGGACTGGTGTAATTCTTTCGTAAAGATATTAAGAACAAATCACAATTTATTGGAAATCAATAAATTTACATATTTTCAACTCCACTAAGGAAAGCAAATTGAATGAAAGAAAATTTGCTGAGTTTGATTCATAAAATGAGCTTACCATCATTATCATCAAGTCACTTTGATGAACTCTCACGTTAGAAATAAATATATAAAACATTTGAGAGGTTATTTCTTCTAATGAAATCAGTACATTCATGGAAAATTTTAGCACGCTCACATATTTCTATATTCTTATAAGGCTTTTGTACATGTAACAAACAAATGGATTTAAAACTTTCAGAAAGAGTAGGAGTCCTATACTAAGACAAAATGGACGTTCAGTGATTTCATGTTTACAATGGTGTTCTAGAGTAGATCGACTCGTGAATTCATCTGCTAAAATCTTACAATCTACACAAATCCCCATACAGACCATAATCATATACCCACTAAAGACTAGCTTCAAGATGTAACCCCTGGAGTTCTAATGAGAAGCCATGACCAGTAGAATCAAATCCATGTCAGATGTGAGATAGTTATCCATCTCAGGCAATGAATAGGGGTTGTACGTGATTATAGATCGGTTGAATTTAGATATTAACACCGTTTGATGCCAATTTATGAGTTAAGAGTTTAAACGTTTGCATGTGTGACCGAAAGCTTTGAGTTAGAGTCCCACGTGAAGGGTCATAGATGCTCACTGCCTAAAAGTCTCATACTAGGATGAAACAAATATCCAGTGTTTCCAGATTTTGAATCGTGATCTAGTTTGAATCGACTCGTGAATTCAGATGTGAAAGTACTTCAATTTTCATAAATCCCCTATACGGATTAGTAAACTCCTTTAAAAAATGTTATCTAACATTTAAAATAAGAGGTTTACGGGAAAATGTTTTATTAAGATATTAAGTTGCCTACATTTGTTGAGTAAATCTATTACAAACCTATAGAGCTTTTCTCTTGAATATCACATCCCTTATAAACAATATAATGCCATTATCTTTATTTGATAATTATTGTTCTTAGATAATGTGGAATAAAATTGGTGAAGAATATCCACTTACAATAGGTAATCATCGATTTATTCCTGATAAACGAATTAGTATTAAACAAAAATCATCAAATAAATGGATATTACGAATAATTAAAGCTAAATTAACTGATAGTGGCTTATATACTTGTACTATAAAATCTATACATAAAGAAGATAATATAAAGGATCATTCTAATGTACAAAACAATATTGATCAAACAATAAATCAAACGAATATGAATATAACATTGGCTGTTAAACAAATGAATAATCCTGATTATTATATATCTGTAGGTAAGTGAATCTTATAGTGTTGTAGTAAGCCCATTCCATTACTGTATTATTTATCTGCTCACTGTAATTTAAACACTTAACCCACTATGTAATTTTGTTTGAGTATGATTGAGCATATTTCTGCACATCAATTTTCAACCTATTCTCCTATTGGTTGTGATACACAGACAATCTATAATTTATCCATACTTGATTAACACTCAAATATATATATAGATTTCTAACACTCACTCACAAACACACACTGTGTGCTTACTTCGTGTACGCTTGAGGATTTTACCAATCTTTAACAATAAACTATCTCTATAACTGATGTTCAGGCTTTTGAATAATCTCGAGTAAATCCATAATTCTGCTAGGAGATTTAACCTGTATTAAATATTCAGTTAACGGGATACTATTTATTGGAGTCAGATATAGAGGATACTATTCTTCTACAGTATATTGTAATTTCACTTGATTCACAATTAATATTGAATAGACTTATGTTTAATATTACTCAAGTGGATAGTTTAATGAATTGTTTTATATTTGATGAGTTGTTATTGTCAGTTATAAACAGTGATGAATAATGAATAGCAGTAAAATCTAGGACGTATGTTTCGTTCTATTTTAGTATTCATCAGCTAGATATACCTTCATCTTAAAGTTGATGTTTATTTCAGGAATCGAACCCAGTACCATTAGCTTTCAATGTCATTGTATTATCTACTTAGTTATTCAGTTCAGACAGCTACTAGCTTACATAATGAAATGCATTTTAATTCAATTTTGTATTGGTTGTTTGAATCTTACCGTTGATGTTCATGACTGCAATTGATCAGTATCTTATTAGCATATGTACATCCCATGCAGATTGCCTACATATTGCTTTAATTCATATGCATTATAAACAGCCTTAATAAACTGTCATATATATTATGAAGGGGCAGTGATATGAGTTCAGATTAACGCTATGAAATATTGTGTCTTTTAATTAACCTCCTACTTTCGTATGTACTCTAGAAAAAATTCAGTTTTTATTATTCAAAACTATGTTTAAATGAAATTACTTGTAATATGACTTATGAATAACCAATGTTCACAAATTAATGCTGATAGTACCATATTATACTCAAAATCTCAATAACATCATTTACTCTAATATTTTCAGAACAGATGAAATTTTCCACGATGATAATTGTACTTCAGATTTGTATATAGTAATAAAAACTACAAAACTGGTCGATATTTCAAAAATTTGTTTTACTGTGCTAGTTAAAACATTCTTTTGTTGCTGGGCTATAATATTTTATAGGATTTATTAAGCACTGAAGTGATTAGATAAATTCTTGTCAATACTCAATAATTAACCAATTATAAACATCTCAGTTCCGCAGAAGGTTAAGCTTGGTCCTAGTTGTAAAATGACAACGTCATAGAGTGTGAGACTGAGTGATTCTATTTCTGATCATTCAGAAAGGGTTAGTTCGTCAAAAATTTACAGGTGAGCTTTATTAACAAGTGCCGTAAAGATTTAGGCGTTAGTCTAGGTTTTTTTATCGACTCCCTACGACTGCATAACATATTTTAGACTCTGTTAGAGATCAAAAACATTATACCTTATATACAGCGATCAGATAAACTTATAAAAAGCAACAAATAGATATTTAAAAGATGTGTGTTTAAGTTATTTTCTTATTTTCGAGTCATTATTCTTATATGATTTAAGATCCCACACCGACCCTAATATACTTTAGTCTTCATAACACTGAAATAATATATGTAACAACTATTTGAGTGTTCTTTTATTAACTAACTAATCTCAAATCGAAGAAGAGATGCAACGTAGCTAGTCGTGCAACACAAGATTCACGTCTCGCCTTATTTGAGACTCATCAGCTTGAGTGCTCACATCCTGGAGTTCATATTCACCCTGAAATTGGAGTTCAGCACTCTTCGCTTCACTATTTCAAAATGTTATTCACATAACGATCAAGTCCAAGTAGCTAATCTTTGCACGACACGGATGGATTCTAATCTAATATGTGATATCTTATCCTATTATTGACATTTTGATTGAATTTTATTGTATCTCAGCTGACATACATGTATTCTGTACATATTGCCTTCATTTAGCCATTATGGCACAGTTTCATATGAATCATTGAAAATCCAATTTTAAAAAAACGTAAATGGTTGTAGCATTATTTATTTCACACTACGTTACTTGTATATATTCGAACTGACAATTTCTAGATTTATTTCAGTCTCAAGCTGTTCCAATTATATTTACCATAATAGTCACAGTGCTAGTGATTATAAATGCCTATGTCTAAAGGATCTGATGAGAATGCCTTGTGCTGTATATTAATTGTTAAGGTACCATAGTAGTTTTTCTACCAGAAGGAATTTGAAAATAAAAATAACTGACTTCGTTACCCCTATCTGAATTAGTTAAGTGAAACATATAATAATTCATCAGATCAATCGAACATTTAAAAAAAAAACCAAGGCTAATTACAGATATGAAGATTGTCTGAAATCAAGGTCATGAATACAAGTAAACAAGTCATCTTCCCTTTAACCTAGTTTTAGATTTAAAATAGATTTTACTGAATAATAATCCTAAAACTGCAATATGTTCAATGTTCAATTTATTTGGAACTACCAGATCCATCCATGACATTGATACATACTGTAATATGTTTGCTGATTAAATGTAAACTATACAATTATCTCCTAATAAATTTAACTTGAAACATGTTGTCAAGTAAGTAAGAAATTATTTTCTAAGCAATGTAGAAGTTGTTTAAATCTGATTGAGATTGATAAAATAAAATGTTTCTCAAAAGCATCGCATAATTGTGGATCATCATACCTGGTTGTATTTACTGTACCGTCAGATGCCTAGCTAAGAAAAGCATTGAGATGATTATCATACTCGCGTTTAAGAGACATTTTATACGAGACCTTTTTATTTACAATGTTTTTTTGGAAATTTGGAAATTAATAATGTCACTGGTTGAAATCATGAATCCATTGAAGCTAGACCACCATGGAAAACCTGGAAGCACTGGACGGCCGTTTCGTCCTAGTATGGGACTCCTCAGCAGTGCGCATCCACGATCCCGCTCCTCGCGAGATTCGAACCCAGGACCAAACAGTCTCGCGCCAGGCGCTTAACCAACTAGACCACTGAGCCGGCATCCAACGGTGTTAATGTCTAACTTCAACCAATCCACGAAGTTGCGCCACCGTACACCATTGTCTTCAGTGAGGTGATATCTCACAACAGACCTGGTTGAACTCCACTAGTGACGGCTTCTCACTACAACTTCAGGAGTATCTCTTGAAGTCAGTCACTAGTGAGCAGATGATTATTATTATCAGAGGGGATTGTGTGGAGATATCAGCTCACTGAAGACAATGGTGTACGGTGGCGCAACTTCGTGGATTGGTTGAAGTTAGACATTTACACCATTGGAAGCCGGCTCAGTGGTTTAGTTGGTTAAGCGCCTGGCGCGAGACTGTTTGGTCCTGGGTTCGAATCTCGCGAGGAGCGGGATCGTGGATGCGCACTGCTGAGGAGTCCCATACTAGGACGAAACGGCCGTCCAGTGCTTCCAGGTTTTCCATGGTGGTCTAGCTTCAATGGATTCATGATTTCAACCAGTGAAATTTCTAAAATCTCCACACAATCCCCTCTGATAATTAATAATGTGTTTGTTTTATTGCAACAAAATACGTAAACAAAAACCATCAATTTTAATATTGAAAAGTTTATATTATTGAAATAATGAACCAGTTTAAGTTAAACAACCACTATACACCTGAAAGCATTAGGAAACTACTTTCTCTTACTTTGGGACTCCACAATAGTGTGCATCCATGATCATACCACAGAGAGTTAAACTCAGAACCCATCAGTCTCGTAAGCAAAGGGCTAATGTATAAACCATTGAGTCAGAATTAAATTGTGTTTATGTCTAACTTTAGTCAATCCATGATATTGCACTATCATCAGTTTGATTGTCACGCTTGTATAGCTGTGGATACACACTTCTGAAAAGTCCCATACTAAAACAAAACGGGGTTCTAGTACTTTCAGGTTTTTATTGGTTGTCTAAATTAGATTGGTTCATGATTTCAATAAATATCAACAATCTTCACAGTCTCTTACCAATAAAAATGATCTTACTCGTTAACAATACGGGATAATATTAATTTGGATAACATTTAAATATTTATAACTTTTTAAACCGTTTACTACGATTATGGCTGAATACATATTAACTTTTTTTTCAAAAATGGGTATGCTAATTGTTTACTCCAAAAGAACCTTATTATTCTCATAATATGACAAAGTTAAGCATGTCCTCGATCACTCAACATGTTACTGCCAAGTAGAATAGATAATAAAATGTATTTTGTTAAAATTACACAGAAAAACAACATCTGTTGTAAATAGATCTAGTTATCATAAGTAATACACAATTATATCACCTAACGTTAGTTTGAATTCACTTAAATGAGAGAAGTGTTAAATATCTCTTAGTATCTACTCAATAATTTTGCTTTACCAATTCTGCTTATTAACTTGGAAATAGATTACAAGAATAAAAGTTGAGTAAATATTCCATGAATACATTTACTTGATTTCATTAAGTTCTAGTGTATTGTGGAGATTGAAAGATACTAAGGAATTATCTACACTGTCTACAAAGAATTCTTTCAATGTATTATACTTTAAGTTTAGAAGTAAATGATTTATATTTTCTTTCTAGAGTTCTATACGCTTCAACTTACAAATGAGGTAAAAACTCTATAGTCTACGATAAAGCCAGGTACTTTTCAAGGTAGTATAATTCCAACGACATTTCATTTCAGTTGGTCTAATTTAACGGTTATTATTGTACATATGATAAGTAGCAGTTTTCGGAATGTATTTTAACTATTCAGTTACAACATGTGTAAGATAAATAAATGAATTTAACGTAATTTTAGTCTTCACTTCTCAGTCTCATCGATAATGGTATTACTGAATAGATTTTTAGCAGTATCATTCTCTCATTTATACCTTATATTAGTTACATTCACTTAACGGTGAATCCGAATTCACTTCATTGTTTCTAATTAGACTGTAATTTTGACTGTAGATAAATATGTTGATTAATCATTAATTATCATTTGTGTACTATCATTGGGTATGATTGATATTGTAAGTAGACAGTTGAATAAGGTTTCAGAGATCATTTATTCAGAGAGGGTAAGATACAGAGTCATAACATCTTACTTATTTATAATAGTTTACAAATATCATAATAACATCTTATGACTTATCTTGACAAAGATATTTCTGTACTGTTATATCCCGATGAGAATAATGAATGGAAACTGTTGGAATCCATTTCTCGACTAATACGATACATACATTTTTATTGCATAATTGTTAAGTAACTCAACTATGCATATTCATGTTCCTCTTATTATAAGCTTTATTTCAACTCATAGATTATTATTATTTGACTTACTGTTCTTAGGTTATGCCCAGTTTCTACATTCACAGCTGCCATTGGCTAGATCTTGTACAAATGTCATTTTCTATTTTATGGTACGATGTGGTCTGTTTGGTTTGTACATAAACCCAGTATGTTTGAAATATATGATTCATATTGCAGTGGCTGAGATTTGTGTTCTGGACTTAACAGGCAGGGCTAGGCAGGAAGAAAAACCGATATGGTCTGTAGGCTGCTCGTACAGTTTTTCTGTGATTGGTCCGGTCGATAAAACACTATTCTCTAATTGGCGGTATCATTACGTCACATATTGTTAGGGGCACAAGGCTACAAGATAAAACACAAATAACTGGTATTAACTATATTCCTGAATAAAGTTATTGACAGTATCATTACATTATATATTAATAGGACCCAAAGCCACAAGTTAAAACAGTACAAGTTTCAGTAATTCATTCACTTGAATTATATCTAATATTTCCATAATATTGAATAATCATGTTTATTATTATTTGTATATCATGAAATACATTTCGATATTGTTTTTTTTTTAATTTTTAACTAATTAAAAGTGGAACCACGATCAAAAGAAGAGAAACAAGCAAATATTACTGTTGTATCTGATAATTTTATTTTTAAAAACAGAAGTAAGTTGATTTCAATTACATTATATCCAGTTTATTATTTTATATATACTCGTAACTGTTCTGGTTAAAATTCACTTGATATTGTTTGTTTGAATCTTCCCATTGATGTTTAGGACAGCAATTGATCAATCTGTTATTAACATATATGCATACTGTACGTATTGCCTGGATATAACCTTAATTCACAAACATTATATATATGGATAGTGGCTAGCACTGGAATACAGGACTCACGTTTCGTCCTATTTAGCACTCGTCAGCTGGATGTACCTGAACCTCGGAGTTGATGTTCAGTCTGAGTTAAAATGTTATGTTATTAAACTTCATTTAAATAAAATGGCTAAATAATTTAATATTATGATAAAGAATTTAATAGATTCGTTGATAAGAGAAAAATGTACGTGTGTTTAATGATTTTCAAGCTTGTAGTATCGGTTGCTATGTCAAGCGCATATAATTTATTTAAGCTTCTAGACAGGACAGTTTATTCATTCCAGTTGGGTCACGTTTTGACCTTGTTTATTATTCACTTATCAACCTTGACTGTTTTTATATGAGCGTATATGTGTGTACAATTCTTATCCTATTCATCACATGTCTGTAACTTATTGTTTGTGACTATAAAAATTGACTGATGCTTAATTATATGGAGTTGACTCACACGCCTTCTCCACTGCGCATTCTTTTGTTTTGCTTTGCTCTCTCTCTTCTTTGATTCATTCGCTGTAATCTAACTATCTGTTCCGATCATGAGTGTACAAAATATACATATTCAAACATCTATTCTCGTATTTCCGTTATTCCCTGACTCGGATTAAGTAGATTAGTACATACGAGGATAGCCGACATATGTATTTGAAATACAATCAGAGTACCATCCAATTGGCGTTAGATCCAGGACCACTAAAAGTTTACTAATATATAAATGAAAGTCACTGAAGTTAGGAAAGAATTCCTTACTTATCAATAGTGCTTTTCAGCACCACGCTTTGCTGATTTATAGGATGTAATCATACGTTTAAGTATATATTCAATTTTAAAAAAATTAAATTATTTGGTTTTCGTGAAAACAAGAATATTGACGTTATCTTTGCATTTAAAAGATACAATATGCCAAATACAATTTCTGTGAACTCTAGGGTGTATTCTTATCAGTTTAGATAATTACAATTATGGACGTTAGTTAGAACATACATAAAAACGAAGAGAACAATGCATATGTCGGCTTGTGATATAATTTCATGATAATAAATTATCAAATATTGTTGTAGTGGATTCCGCTGCTGTTAAATGTCGAAAACGATTGATTATGAGGTCACAGTTAATGTCTGTTATTAGCTTGAATTTAAATTCAAAAAGCCGTTCAATACAAATACGGTATCTATATCCCTTACCGTTTGAACTCATATGTATTGCAATCATAGTTATCAAAGTGTAAATTTTTTTGGAAATACAATCAATAAAATATGATATTTATAAGTAAATATCATTTGGTCTAGGATAGTGGTGTAATAACAGACGATTTATTATATCTGTACATTTACTTATATTAATGGCATTTCTATTCATAAATACATTTACCATTGACGTAAAATGTACTTTGTGCCGTCATACATATTGTTTTACTCAGCACTTACTGTCACTGGACCACGTGTAGTTTACTATGGCAGTCCGTTGGAATTAAAATGTTATGCAAAGTTTTCTACTGATGTTCGGGCATCCGGTTACGAAATACTTTTAGAATGGTATCATCATGGTGTTCGAAAGTCCTCGGATCCATTTAAATCTGGTGGTGTGTACATAGAACAAAAATGGTTAGATCCGAAAACACTTGAGAGTCGTTTATTTATAAAGTGGGCAAGTGAATCGGATACTGGACAATGGATATGTTTAGAACGGTACAAACCAAGTGAAAATAACACTAAACATGATTTTTCACATACGATTCATTTGAATCCAATACATAAAAGCATATTATCAACGGATAGAATTCAAAATAATCGTTTACCGATTTCATCTATTTCAAAGAATCGGCCTTTGTCTTCAACATCTCCGTTAGTACCCAATTCAAGAATAATGTTTGGAAGAATAGAAGTAGAAATTATTGGTATGTTTGTTAATAACCAAGTCTATTGAATTTCATGGTATTTGATACACCATATAAGCGTTCATTGATGCAAACTTGAACCTAACACGGTTCAATTCACTGCACAGTATTCATCCGTTACAATCGATAATTATGGTTTCGTTCCCAAAAAGGTTTGATTCCTCCATCTGCTTCTCGAAAACATTTAGAAACGTTTATGAGAATATAGTCACAGAAGAGTTAGGATATGAGTTCTATAGAGAACGTTTCGTTCAGTGATCATCTGAAATACCAGACTAACATATAAACTGGTGAATAAATTTTAAATACCTTGTCAGTAGTAGATCCATGAATATCCACATACCACCTTTGTTACTGAAGCCATTGAGAAATATTGCTATTAGTAAGAGCATTACTTTAAGACGTTAGTTAGTATACTTTCGTTGTTTCTCCTTAAGACTGAAGGTGACTACTTGTCGTGATGCAAAGCAGTTCTCCATAGTAAAATGTATTACAAAATATATCATGTACCTGAAATACTCAAAGAATTATAACTCAATCTGTGTTTTCACTGAATGTCTACGTGAGGTGTAAGAACAAATGTTTAACAAAGTAACAGCCAGATAATTGTTATCCCAGAAAATACTACAACATTTGTCAAACATACTAGTGGTCAACCGGACATTAAAAAAAACACTACTCTTAGATATATTTATAAAATACTGTTTGATGACTTATTAAAAGTAAGGAAACGTCTTTCTTATAAGCTATTATTGATTTATTTCGTCATACATATTTACATGTTTATAGTGTTACATTAAAACTATACATTTATAATTTATGTTCCTAAAACTTATACTCATGATTTTGTTGTGTTCTTGGACCTACCGCTAAATATATGAAGTCGGTCACCAATGTAATTTTCACTGCACGAAGTAGAAACATGGAAGATTAATAAAAAAAATTGACGATATTTTAACCCTCTAAATCATAAATTGTTATTGAAATAACTGCCAACATAATTATGTACATATATATAACTTGGACGTTGACACAAAAGATCCAAGTAAGAAAATATAGACATTAAATAGGGATTTAGTTGACAGCCAAAGTGGGTCAAAATCAATGTCTGAGTGCACCGAATAATAGTCACAATTATATTGATTGAACTGAGTATTAATTCATATTAATTAATCAATTATTTACTAAATAACCATTATTAAACATTAACCACCTATAACTGATGATTACTCCTCCTTATAATGCGGTTAAATTTCATAGATTATTGAAAAAAGAAATCAATATTGACTTTCAATAAGTACACTAGAATCAATTTTAACTCTTGTTCACTAGACCACTTTCCGATTTAGATTTTAAGGATTGAATGGCTTACTAAGCTGTTTTGAATAACTAGAAGTGATAATGAATACACTATTTTAACTATAGTTCCATGAAAACAATCTGTAATTCCCTCTTATTTCTAAAGCAATCATTTTTAACTAGTTAGACTTAGAATTGTGTCCAATGTAGGTGTTTTGATGACTTTGAACCGTTAATTACTTTATTAATCATTGATACAATAAATGTTCATTAACTGTCATAAAATTAAACCGCCTATAGCTCTTCTAAGGTTATTGTCGATCTCATTATTCTTATCGGGGCATAACACATTGTCAATAATGTTTGTTTTATTAATGTACTCAATTGATTAGGGTTATAATATCAATTGTCTAATGTTATATTTTATCCTTACTCTCTATTATAGATATATCAAAAGCTTCAATACATTTAAATGGACCAAGATCAAAAGATATAAAATATTTATATAGTAATACTGGTTCCAATTCTAAATTACATCAGTCCATAATCAATAATATTACTTATTTATACAATATTAAATGGTTGTTTGTAAACATGTGTTTATCAATGATAATTTTAAAATATTTTTTATAATAAGCCTGGTAACAGATTATCTATCTATCTATCTATCTATCTATCTATCTATCTATGTTCATTTAACAGATATTTATGTAATTTCTTTTATGATTTACTTCCATTCCATTCCCTATATTAATTTGTAAATATTAATAATTTCAATAAATATTTTGAAAGTTTAATGTTGATCAACAAGGTGAGACTATAATTTATCGACGAGTCAATCAGATCATAGCGTCAAATTCAGTAACTGATGTTTACGTACGATTGGTTAATAGTGGATTTCTAGGGAAAACGTGATCATTGACTGGCTACAACAAATGGGATTATTTAGAATTTCCTTTATTTGTGATTGCGGTAATTGAATGACTTGTGGACATTGTGAAGGCCAGCGTAATGATGTTGTCTTTCGATGTAATATGTGTTGGAGGAGGAAGTCTGCTAGAATAGGATTTTTTCGCCCGACCCAGATTGAGACTAAGACATATTATTGATAACTACTGTTAACTAGATATTAAAAGCACCAGCAACACTGGCTACAACAGGATACTACAATACATACAGATGATTGGCGAGCGTACAGATGCCTATATAAACTTGGTTATGTGCATCGTGTCGTTATCCACAAGCGGCATTTCGTGGACCCAACAACCAGAGTACACACAAACAATATTAAAGCTAACTGGATGAGACTGAAAGAGATTTCGCCAACTTATTATAGCTTCAATGGCACTTTAATTCTTTGGTTTTGTAAAATATATTTCTACTCTATACTAACTGTTCTCAGATTAACTAATATTTCTCAAGGTCACTAAAGTTTCGTTCAAGGTCGTCTATGAATTATAGTCTCGTCATATTTTCAATTAGTAGATAAGAGAAAAACAAGGGAGGAATTTCAAAGATCGTGCACAAAATGTTTTTCTCTACGATCTTAAATACTACCAATTATTTTCAAAAGAAATTGACATTTCTAAGCCTTACTAAGAGCATTAAAAGGATATTTTATCAAACTTTAAATAATAATGAATTGTAAGTCATTTATGTATTGGTTGTTCGAATCTACTCACTGATAGTTAGGACCGTAATAGATCGGTCTTTCACTGGTACATGTGCATCATGTGCGGATTACTTCGATATCGCCTTAGGTAAAACTAGGTACATCTGGCGGACGAATCCCAACTTTGGACAAAGCACGCATCCCAAATTCCACTACTAGCAACAGATTGTTCTAACGACCCTTTCAATTATCATCTGCCATATTATCAATCATAACACTGACTTATACGACCTTTGACCTGTGACAAATCAATGACGCGTTAACCATTACGAGGAGCTTAGAGTCTACTCTAAGTCCTTATTGATTCTTCTCGCCTAACCCTACCTGTTTGTTCCCAGAATGCAATTTCAACTTCCACTGTATGAATCATGTGTTTCATACATACACAGCTTATAAACAGGGAAATCAGACCGCATCATTCCATTAAAATAGAAAATAATAATTATACAAGATCAAGCCAAAAGTAGCTTTGAATGTGAGAGAGCTGGAATGATTTACGAATAATAAATCGTATAATAGAAGCCAATAGGTCAAATTAAAGCTTATAATAAAAAAAATATAAACATATATAATCTAGTTACAATACGAACATGTGTAATAATAGTCTATATATAAATCCTAGCAGTTACCGTCCATTTACTTATACTTTGAATATAAAAGTCTTGAATTTCTCATCTAAGTTAACTTTAGAATACTTGAACATAACCCAATATGAATTCACTGCCACATAAAAATTCACTTTTATGCACATAATAAATATTATTAGAGAGGAAACTCATTGTTGATACTTCTGCAGTAAACGGAATAGCGAATAAATTTCAACGGATATAACTTTATTAAAGTTAATGGTGATGTAAGTAAATGCATTACTTTATAGGTTATTCAAAGGAAAGTTTAAGCTTTAACCATAACAATTGAATGAGGTCAAGTATAGTTGTAGCAGATAACAATATTTTTCTTTAACAAATATTCAATTCGGAAGATTACCACTAAATATCTATGAAACTTTATTTATTCGAAAAAGATGTCTGTCAACTAGACTAGTTAATTAAATACGAGCTGATATGATAAATATACAAAATGACAAGAGTTTTTATTAAGATCATGAAGCACTAGACGGTCGTACAGTGCACATTAACGATCTCTTACGCAAACGCTTGAACTCTAGACCACTGAGCTATCATCCAACAGTGTTAACGTCCGACTTCAACCAATTCATAGTATTACTCGGCCATCTTACATTGTCGATGGGTAACTGCCTCACATCCGACACAGTAGAAATCCACTGGTCACAGCTTCTTACTGGAACTCTGAGAATTACTTCTCGAAGCCAGTCAATAGTGAGCTCATGATAGTTATCAGTATATGATTGTGGAGATTGTTAAGTTTTAATTAAGATCATAAACCAATTGAGGTTAAACAACAATTACAAAATTGGGAGCACTGGACGACTATTTCATCTTAGTATAGAACATCTCAGCAGTGCGCATCCACAACCCTTCAAGCAAGACTCAAACTCTAAACTTTTGGTCTTGTGCGTAAAATCCACAAATCTCTATACTGATTAGTAGAAACCTGTGGAGACTGTAGAATTGAGTCCAATACTAAGACGAAACATTCATCAAACACTCCAAAATTTTCACTAGTGTTCTAATATTGATCAGTTCATGATCTCAATTAAGTTTAAGAATGATTTATAACATTCTTACAATATTTAAACTATTTTTCTTAGTTAGTTCAAAATGGAAAAATTAAAACAAAATGTTTTTAGAATGTGTAGTTTTTTTTCCTAACTCAGAAACTTGTTCCAGTGATTATGTAGACAAGATGATGTTTACATAATTATTTCATTTAAATTACACATTGTTAAATTATATAAACTTAATATCTAAGCATAGATGGAAAAATTTTCCTCGTTTTTAAATCCTTCAATTAAAAATAATGAAAAAAAATTAGACTATGATTCTGTAATCAAAAACAAAATGTTTGTTAGATTTTTCATGGGAAAATTATGTTTTTTTATAAAATCTTCACAAATTTGACAAATATTTTTCTGAAGGCGTTTTGTGGAGGTTGTAGCAATTTCAATGATTAAGATCATGAGTAAGTTGAAGCTAGACCACCGTGGAAAACCTGGAAGCACTGGACGGCCGTTTCGTCCTATTATGGGACTCCTCAGCAGTGCGCATCCACGACCTCGCTCCCTGCTAGATTCGAACCCAGGACCTACTGGTTTCGCACGCGAGCGCTTAACCATTAGACCACTGAGCCGGTATCCGACGGTGTTAATGTCTAACTTCAACTAATCCACGAAATTGCGTCACCGTCCACTATTGTCTTCAGTGAGTTACTATCCCACAACAGACCTGGTTGAACTCCACTGGTCCTGGGTATGGATCTCATGGGGCGGGATCGTGGATGCGCACTGATGAGGAGTCTCATACTAAGAGGAACAGGCCATCCAGTGCTTACAAGTTTTCCATGGTGGTATAGCTTCAATTGACTCATAAATTCAACTATTATATATGTTGATAGTTCAGATGAATCTCAGTATAATTATGCATTTATAATTTTAGTTAAAACTCTCCAAACGACACTGTTAACTGACAAGTTATCAATGTTTGAGTATAATAGTTAAGAGGTACATAAAATGATGACATACTACATTTAGGTAATATTTCAATACATTAATTGAAATTATTACGATATTAGGTATGTAGAGACGTTCTAAATTTAAGTTCATTCTGAATTGATATCATTTAAAGAAGTAATGGAAATCTGGTTAATTATTTATTCCTTCAATATTGTTAACTAATTTTGAAAACATTATTCTGCGATGGTGAAGAAGAGTTGTAGATCAGATGGATGATTTTGCGTCAATTCCTTGTTGAAATGTTAATAGTAATTGGGTGACTAGTTTCAAATTGTATTTCTGATATTCTTGCGAAGAGAGATAATCGAAAAAACATTCAAAACAAAAATGTTGGAAGTAAATTACATATTAATTAAGTCATTAAACAATGACATAAAATATGTCACGAACTGACTGAATTTAATTATGTCAACAAATATGTTCCGGATCAGTAAATTAACCTCAATTGCATAAATTAATTAGTATTCATGGTCAGATCTCGTAAACATTTAAACTTGACGAGTCATCCCAAGGTAAATACTTCAGACATTTGAAGTTTCAGTGATTCACTGCATTACAAAACAAACAGTTTTAAAATAATATCTAACATAAATTAATAACAATTCACGGTGAGTCGATAATTTACGGATGACCTTTGAGCGACACTAAAGTGACCTTCAGAATGTTCACCTACTAAGTATAACTAAATGAGGGTTATAAACCAGTGTGAGAAATTGGAATTACAGTTGATGGTTAAGGTTAGGAATTAGATTTAGGGTTTTCATCACGAACTGACATCAACTATAATGCTGAGACTCTATTAATCGAAATGGATGAGTGGATTTCACGTTAAAACCCAAGACCTGTTATCCTAAATCTGATTGACTCGTCCATAAATTATAGTCTCGCCCCTGGAAGCACTGAACGGCCGTTTCGTCATGATCCCAACCACTGAAATTGCTATAATATCCACAAAACCCCTTCTGACATTATTATCTGTTAATTTTTGAAAATTCACTTGCTTATCGATAATAATACTTCTTAAATTTACCACTAGTTTAAGTAATTTATGATGACTGTATAATCTATTAATTTAAATTGGGCACCTACCAAGGTTAGACAATCAATCAAAACCATTAAGCGTTGAACAGTTGATTTGGAATAGTATATGTTAGGTAGTTGCCAATCAAAGCCACCACAAGTTGTTTGTGTAACATCATGAATCGGTTAGAAGTAAGTATGTAAATCAATGGATGCCTTCTTAATGACCTAAAACTTAGGCTCACATTAGAGAAAGCTGTAGGTAATCGGTACTATCTATGGTGGGAT